TTTTTTGATTATGGATCTACTACCAGAATTTCAATGCGTAATCTTAGCGTTCTTTCTCTCATTCTTGAATTGATTGGAATGGGATGATGAATTTATTTCGCCTCTTTGCCAATAAATCAGAATTCTCGTAGAGAATAGCAGAATATATGAGCGGCTTTAACTATAACCTCAGTTCTATTTATTGGTCTGAGCAAGATACGGCTTATTTGAAATTAATATTTGAAATTAATTCTTTCAGAAAATGGATTCCTATTCGAAGAGTGCATAACCGCATGGATAAGCCACTGAGAATCTAGAAATATATCTTCGTTCGGCAGAAAGATAATGAATGCTTATTTGATCTTGATCCTTGTGGAGCGAAAAAGGAACTACACTGAATTTGTACGAACCCCCTGATAATATCCACAAATGGCTTGTTTTTGGTAAGAGATGGACATTACTATATGTAAATTCGGGCGAATGGTACACATCGGTACTCCAGTGCATTTCCCCCTCTGAGTCAGAATAAATATGTTTTCGAACCCTCTCTTTCAAATTTAAAGTGTATGTTCCCGCGCGAATCTCAGCAATCACTTGTTCTGATTCTACATATTGATCGTTTTGAACTAAAAGAAAACTTTTTGGTGGAATAGCCACCTTATGTATAATATCTTCACTCTCAATAATTACATACAAGTCCCGATAACATAAAAAAGCAGGATGCCCGTGACGTGTGCGTGTAGGATGAACCAAATCCTCATTGAATTTTATTTTTCCATTAAAAGGGGCTCGGACATGTTCTGCAGTACCCCCTGTAAATACTCCGCCGGTATGAAAAGTTCTTAATGTTAGTTGCGTTCCCGGTTCTCCAATGGATTGCCCCGCAATAATACCTACAGCTTCTCCCAATTCAACCAGGTCACCATGAGTGGGGCTCCGACCATAACATAATTCCGGAACCATAACAAAATAATCGACAGATTCCAGAACATACCCTCCTCAAGTAAAGGGAGTTTCGAAATTCCACTCACCCCACAGTTGGGAACTAATGATTGGCTCTGTCTACAAAGATTTTGATTTTGAACGGCAATGCATTGTAAACCCATATATATATATTGTCTGCTAATACACGACCAATTAATGTTTGAATAAAAATCCTTTCTGACATCGTCCCATTTCGAGGACTCACAGAGATCCCTCGGGTGGTGCCACAATCTGTTCTGCGCACAACAATATGTTGAACTACTGCAACAAGTCTACGTGTAAGATATCCAGCATCTAATGTTCGTACAGTAGTATCGACAACCCCTTTTAAGGCTCCATAGCAAGAAATGATATATTCTGTTAAAGACACTCCTTCACGTAAATTGCTTTGAATGGGTAAATCAATCATATGTCCCTGTTGTTGGCTCAAGGGTCAATTTCTAAATCTCGGATTTTGATGATTGATACAAAACAAATAAATTTAAATTATGTTATGTGTACTAATTTTATTTTATGAACGGGTCAGTCATCCTAAAATTAGGATTCATTTCTTGTCGCAAATATTCACTTGTAGCATACCATATCTCAATTGATTGGCGTAATTTTTCTACCGCGTGTACATTCCCAAAATGATGGTGTTTTTCCAAAATCAAACTTTGTTGTTCAGCATCTTGGACTAGCCATCCCTTAGAAGGTATCGTTAAAAGATCATCAATTCCTAATGAAATGGATGTAGCAGTGGCTTGCTGGAAACCCAGAGCCTTTACTTGATCCAGGATGTGTGATGTATATATGTATATGCCATTCCGAAGTGATCTATTAATCTGCTAATAAGCCGTTTAATGGCAGTTCCATCTATCACTTTATTGTGAAATACCAGATTGGCCCGTTCTGCCATAAATACCCCCTTATTCCGCTGAGTGGACTTCGCCAATGGGTTTGAGTCAATGATTGGAAAACTTCCTTTTCTCGATCTTGATTTTGGTAGAAAGTCGGGTCAGGAACTGGGGTCCTAGTTGAACCGGAGAGACCCGAATTCATATTGGTGTCATAGAATTTTTTAGCTTAGATACCATATGATTGGGTATCATATGAGTAGGCCCGAAAAAACCCTTGTATAGCTTCTTCGATTTCTCGGTAAAGAGAAATATGACCAACAGTGGTTCGAATGTATATACAAAGAATTTTTTTTTTTAAACTTCTTACTATTAGATAATGTCCATAAATCTCATGATAGGTACCCGAAGATTCATAGTGAACTTCGATGGGAGCTTCTCTTGAAGCAATAACGCATTGCTCTAGTTGCCACCGGAGCCACAAAGGACTATCTAAATTGATTCTTTTCTGCCTATAAGCTCCAATCGCATCATAGGAATTACAAAAAAAAGGCTCCCTTGTAGACTTATAGTTATTATCGTCAATTCTTTCATTTTGATAGCTTTTTCGATTCCATGGATTATACCTATTCGCACAAATACCTCGACGATTCCCACTCGTTAATACATAGAGCCCAATAAGCATATCTTGAGTAGGTACGGAAATGGGATCCCCAATAGCTGGAGACAAGAGATTCATATGAGAAAACATAAGTAAACGAGCCTCCGCTTGCGCCTCTAAAGATAAAGGTACATGAACTGCCATTTGATCCCCATCAAAGTCTGCATTGAATCCCTTACAAACTAATGGATGTAAACAAATAGCGCGTCCTTCCACTAAAATAGGTTGGAATGCCTGTATACCTAATCTATGCAGAGTAGGCGCTCTATTCAGCAATACAGGATGTCCCCGCATAACTTCTTGCAGTATTTCCCATACAATCGGCCCTTTTTCCCGAATTTTACTCTTAGCAACTCCTATGTTCGAAGCAAGATGTTGCCTAATTAGACCGCGAATTACAAATATCTGGAAAAGCTCTATTGCTATTTCGCGAGGCAATCCACATCTTCCACATCGATGTAATGAAAAGTGAGGGGGCCTACGACAATGACAAAACCGCCCCGAATAATCAACCCGTTTGCCCAAAGCATAGTCTCACGAAATCTTCCTTCTTTGCCCTTCAAGTTACATCCGGAAAACGACTTGTAAACCTTACTTATGACCCGTCCCTCAATGGTTGTCCCGGAATTCCATTATCAAGCAGTGTATAAGTGTATCCACGGCTTCTTGTACCAATTTTTCCTGACACATTACTAATTCCCCTGGCGTAGATCTACTTGTTGTTAATAGATCGGTAAGAGTATTATTTCGATAGATAACTCTTCTATAGAGTTCATTAATATCCGAACTCATTAGTTTACCCCCATCTATCTGAATGATCGGTCTCAACTCGGGAGGAAGAACCGGTAATAGACATAAAACCATCCATTCTGGTTCTATATTTGTTCGAATAAAATGCTTAGCCAATTCCATGCGTCTAACCAAAAAATCCTTTCTTCTTCCAATTTTTCGATCTTCCCATTCATTACCCGTGAGGCCTTCTTCTCCTAATTCTTTCCATTCTACCACCGAATAATCGATAAGAATTCGCAAATCTAGATCGGCTAATTGTTCTCGAATAGCACCTGCTCCGGTAGAAATTTCGCGACTTCGAAATGTATCGAAACCTTGGGTAGTAAAAAAAAGTGGGATACTGTATTTCCAGGATTGAATTTCATATTCGAATGAACCTCGTAATCGTAAGAAAGTAGGTTTTTTAGCGATGGGCCTAGCAAAAGAAAAATTAGGATAGGGCCCTGCGGGATCCCCCCCTCAAAATCGGACATGAGAGTTTCCTCTCATCCGGCTCAAGTAGTTACACCAAATAAAGATAAAGTAAAGGAGTTCTCGCTTTCAAATTCTAGAACCCCCCCAAAAAGGTCTACTCTTTACTCAAGTTCCAAGAAACATTTCATTGATTGATTCTTCTTTTATTGATTTAGATTTTCTTAATTCTTTATTCAATTCAAAATTAGGACATAAATGAAATGTGAAATTCTTGAGTAGTCTACTTCCCCTCGAATGCTGAATCCTCTTAAATTAAAGGAGTGTCATAAGGGATTTACTTGTCTATGTACCCTTCCATTCGATCTCTTAGGTCCTGCGGTACCTCGACGATTATACCACGATGCCCTTAACTTAAAGCCTAAGCCTATATGCGATGTATAGACTCCTGCAACCATGACATATTTGTTTCCTTGAACATAATTTCATTTCTTTCTAAAAGAACTAAAAGAAATGAGAACGGTTAATTCCACAAAAAAAGAAGTCTTTTTTTCACGAGGTACAACTCAAAATTCCTAGTTATTTATTTTTACTGACTCGACCATAGACCAATTCCCTTTTTATTTGGGAGTATTGAATACGCCCATAATTCTGAGCTTCATGTTACTCTTCCCAAGAGACATGTCAGATCCAGGGCATCCCAATTCGATTGAATGGGATGACAGTTTCTCATTCCTAATCTGTAAAATAATAATTTCGATCAAATCACACATCGCAGTATACTAGACCCTCTAATTCTTTAAGAGGTTTGTCTAAAAGATTGGCGATATAACTAGGAAGACGTTTCAAATACCATACATGAGTTACTGGACATGCCAGCCTTATGTATCCCATTTGATATCTTCGTATCCGACGTTCAAATACCACATCATGAGTTACTGGGCATAGACGTTTCAAATACCATACATGAGTTACTGGACATGCCAGCCTTATGTATCCCATTTGATATCTTCGTATCCGAGAATCAACAAATTCAACTCCGCATTGTTCACAAAATTTAGGGCCCTCCTTTTGATTTCCAATTACTCGATAATTTCCACAAGCGCAAATTCCACTTTTTATAGGTCCAAAAATTCTTTCACAAAATAATCCATCCTTTTCCGGTTTATTGGTTTTGTAATGAAAAGTATAGGGTTTTGTCACCTCTCCAACGGTTTCTCCATTAGGTAGGATTTTCTTGGCCCAAGCACTTATTTGTTGGGGAGAAACTGATCCAATTCGGAGTTGTTGATGTTTATATCGGTCGATCATAGAAGAAAAATTCTGAGTCATTCCGATTAAGCTTCCTTCCTATTAATCTGGAAGTTCTTCTCAGATACAAGGAAATGATTCAGTTCCAGAGCCAAAGATCGTAATTCTCGGACGAGCAATCGAAAAGATTCTGGAGCATCTTCGGGTTTAGGTATTGTTCCTCCAATGATCGTAGTCCCAAGTACTTCTTGGCGAGCTCTAATATGATCAGATTTATAAGTAAGCATTTCTTGTAAAATATGAGCAACACCAAATCCCTCTAGAGCCCAAACCTCCATTTCTCCTACCCGTTGTCCTCCTTGCTTGGACCTTCCTCTAAGTGGTTGTTGTGTAACAAGTGCATAATGTCCACTGGAACGCCCATGTATTTTATCATCAACTTGATGAATTAATTTCAAGATATAAGGTTTTCCTATTATAACAGGTTGCTCAAAGGGGCCTCCCGTTCTTCCATCAAATATTCGGCTTTTTCCTGGATATTCGGGTTCAAATACCCATGGATTCGCTGTTTGCTTACTGGCTTGATATAATTCGGAAAACACTAGTTTTCTCGAAGCCTCTTGTTCATATCTCTCATCAAATGGTGCTATTCGATAATGTCTATCTAGTAGACTCCCTGCTAACCCAAGCGAGCATTCAAATAGCTGTCCTACATTCATTCGTGAAGGTACTCCTAATGGGTTGAAGACCATATCAACAGGTCTTCCGTCTTGCAAATAAGGCATATCCTGTCTAGGCAAAATTTTGGAAATGATGCCTTTATTTCCATGTCTTCCAGCTACTTTATCACCCACTTTATGCCTTCCGGCTACTTTATCGCCTACTTTGATTTCGCGTTTCTGTGAAATATAGACACGAATCGTTTCCGGATTATAACTAGAACCCCCTTTTTTCTGGACCCATCTCACATCGATGACTCGACCCCTCCCACCTATAGGTAATTTTAGACAGGTTTCCTTTGAAGTGGATACCTGAATCCCAAGTATGGCCCGTAATAATCTATCTTCTGGAGCATACGATGATTCTTTCGCCACCTGAGGCGTTAATTTACCTACTAAAATATCGCCTGTCTCCACCCAAGATCCCAGCATCACAATTCCATTTTTGTCTAAATTGCGGAGTAAATGGGCTTCTAGGTGCGGTATTTCGTTAGTGATTCTTTCAGGACCTTGGCTTGTCACATGAGTCTGAATTTCATATTTTCGTATGTGAAAAGAAGTATAAATATCTTCATATACTAGACGCTCGCTAATGAGTACCGCATCCTCAAAATTGTAACCCTCCCATGGCATATAAGCTACTAATACGTTTTTGCCCAAGGCGAGTTCGCCACCAACTTGCCAAGGCCGATTCGCCACAAACTGTAGCGGCACATCCGCTAAAACTTGTCCCTTTTTAATGCATTTACCGCTTGAACCTGGGTTTTTTGAAATGCTACAAGTATTTTTTTTTTGAAACGTTGAATACCATAATAATGGAATGCGTAGAGTATCATCCATTACCGATAAAAATGATTTTGTCAAAATATCAGTAATAAATTATCTTTCCTCGTGTTCGGCCTATAGCAGGAACACTGAATCTAGAGAACTTGGCGTTCCATCCAGTTCCAACAATGCATTTTTTTTCGGATCAGAAAAGTGGAACTGCCTGACATATTAGAACTCATTAAAGCCCGATTCGCGTCATTATGCTCGATAAAAGGAATGAGGGAAGCTCCAATAGAAAAATATTGAAAAGGAAAAATACTTCGAAGATGAACTTGTTCCCATGCAATAGTCAGGAATTCTTGGCGGTATCGAGCCGGAACAACCTGTTCTTCCTGAATACCCTGATTCAAGGCCAAAGAATTTCCTGCCGCTACCATATAATATTCATCTCGACTTGGGGATAAATAAAGCATCTGTGCTTTTTTTGATCTCTCAAAGATTTTATAAAATGGACTTTCTAGAGACCCCCAATGACCAATCCTGGCATGAATTGCTAAGGATCCGATAAGTCCAACATTGATCCCTTCAGACGTGTCAATTGGGCAAATGCGTCCATAGTGACTAGGATGGATATCTCGTATCCGAAAATTAGCAGTTCGCCCGGTCAATCCTCCGGGGCCCAAATAACTCAATTTTCTCCCATGCACTATTTGTGTCAATGGATTTGTTCGATCCAAAACTTGAGACAATGGGTGTAATCCGAAAAAGGATTCATAAGTGGTTGTTAATGGAGTCGAAGTTACCAAATTCTGAGGAGTCGGTATCAATTTATGCCTAATTGCTCCGCATATAGTTCCTCTAACTACATTTTCTAAACGAACCAGAGCCAATCCGAATTGATCTTGTAAGAGAATTGATCTTGTAAGAGATTCCCTACCAGAACGAATAACGTTCTTTTTAAATGATTCATATCGTCAAGATGTACCCCCATTCCAAATTTCATTCCAATCAAATGATCCGAGCTTGCCAATATATTCTCGTGGTAACAAAATTGTATTGTTATGAGGTATATCAAGATTCAGTCTCCCGGTTCATATTTAATCGACCAGTCCTTCAATTTCACAATCTTTTGGTTTGAAAGAATTCTTTTGTAATTCCTTACATAAGGTTCAGACAATACTCGGATCTCGCCTACCAAGTAAATTTGTTGATTAAACCCAAATGGCATTTCCTTTGACCGCCCATTTTTTTTTTTCCTTATCATTCAGATCGGGGGGGGGGGGAGAGCATGAAAATTTAGAAACCGGACATTTTGATAAAGAAGGGGATCCAGCCTATTTGCCTCTAGGTTCTCGAAGTCTCTTCTGTTTCCTACTCACACGAGCCCATATCCTTGCTTTTCTATCAATCTCGAATGATACTCTTTCCCTCAATCCGATATTATGGTGCTGGTATAGACTGAGATTCCGTTATGATCCAATGTGATTTCTCTCTCCTTTGTGGGTTTTCTTGTTTTCTTCGATAAGCAATTCTTTTCTGGATGGGAAAATGTAGTGTTATTTTTTTGTTTCGGCATGACGTTTGGGAAGTGATTTTTCTTTGAAACATATGCATCTTTGTGCAAATTGTTTAAGGTGAGGTGGCTTGCATGTCTTCCCCGCTTTTACTTTTTTTTTTTTTTTTTCCTGTATTTTTAATGTTGTGATACTATTGTATAAGTTGGCTATTTTTTTTTTCTTGATATTTTCATGACTTGACTTCTGTTGTTACAAGAAGTTTTATTAGATTATCTTACAATTAATACTTCTTTGATAACAGAAAAACTACAATGTGGCCTTGCTAACAATTTCCAATAGCAGAGGAATCCTCTGCATTGGTAGGGAACAGTGTGTTTTTCTAGAATTAGGGTTGGTTCACTACCATCGTTTTAACTGACTACCCAAATGTATTTAGGTTTTTATGATATTTATATTTATGTGCCACTATGAATCATGGAAGCAAGGAAAATAATAAAGAATAACACTAAACAAACGAGGAATTTTTATAGGAAAATAAGCCAAGCTTGAAAGAATTAAGGTGATCATTGGGGAAGTTTAATTGAATTTTGTGACCCAAGTCATTTTTTATTCGTTTGATAAATTCTATCATACTGTCAAATAAATCATAGACCAAGCCACTAAGTTACTACTTGATGTCACTTCCATTATAATTTGTTCCAATAGAAGCATTTAGGATGGAAGTTTATGGTATGGTATAAATTTTTACCTTATTGCTAGAATATGTGGAAGCTTAATAATTCTGTGGGGATATGTGGAAGGATAATGCTTGACAAGTGCTCTAATGATTGGACTGTAACTAGATGGCACTTTACTTCTTAATTGAGATTGAGTATTCTTTTCCCCTTTGAATGGTAAAGTCATTGTCCAAAAAGAAAAGTGCAATACAAGCATGATTGGTGGACATGTCAATTAAACCTAGAGGGGGTGTGGGGTGGATAGAAAAGGGATGGAGGGAGATACTATCAATTTGGGGTTTACTTACAGCGTGTAATGATAAATGTGCATTTCACAACTCTACTCAGCCTTAATCTAAAACCTATTGGTTGCTACTGTGGATCCTTTTAACTCCATTAGACCCTATTAAGAACTGTATCTTTAGAAATCCTTCTTCAATATTTGATCCCACTTCCATGTAGATCTATCACTCATTTTCCTTCCTTCTTTGGCCTGAATATGCCTGACCTTCCCTGTCAATAATTTATTGAAATGTGAGAAGCACACCTAAACAACCATATCGTAGACCCTCATAATTTATCATTAGCAGTTACTGCTTCTACCGTCCTATGCATGTTATCATTCCTTATTCTGCCTTTCCTTGTATTTCAACATGCATCTTAGCATTCTCATCTTTCCCTTGGTAATTTTATGGATAAGTTGTTTCTTCACCATATATGCATGATTGTATCCTTGGTTCAGGCAATACATAAAGGCCAGTTCCAACCCAGATAAGGAGGTGGTAGGTGATGAAGCAATGTTTCTTTAAACATGTTTATGATATGGATCAAATAGATAAGTATACATAATGTGCAAATGAACTACAACTGTTGGTTCTTAAGAATTTGTTTCATAATTCATCATATCAACTTTTGGTTTATGCCAATACATACGCATACATATTCTTGAAATTTGATGAAAGATATGTATTCTAAGGACTTGGTCCTTACCATGCTACTTTCAGGCAACCTTGCAATTTCCTTTACATGCCATTTTGTCATTATATTTATTCCCTTTTGCTGATATATCTTGTCGAATTTGCCTCCAACAGAAGCACGCGGAGGAAGAGGCATCTTAATACTTTTTTGATTATAAATATCTGAAAATTCAGCGGCAGTGGAGGCACATATAGTTAAAAGACATGTGCCTAGAGATGGCCATATTACGGTTCCGGGAACCGGAACCGTCGGTTCGAACCGGTCCGGAACCGTAACTGGAACCGGGCCGAACCGGAACCGGAACCGAAAAACTCCGGTTCGGTTCCGGTTCCAAATTTTCTGTTGGTTTGACACTGCTCTTGAAAGGGTGAAAGGTTTTTTATATACAAACTCATGAGAATTCCTGAGTACTCAGGAATTTAATCAATCGAATAGTGATTGAATGGATAATTGGCTTTTCAGCTTCTCTAACAATCGATTTTCAAAGAATCGATTCTTTAGCGGTCTCAATGACAGCTATATTTCTAAACAGTTACTCCTGCTAACTCCCCGTTGAGGAAGTTTGACGAAGACCTCTGAACTGAGGTGAGGGTTCGATCAGTAGAGGGGACGAGTGCAATAGAATAACCGGTTGAAGCGTAATGATCATACGTTTGTAATGCATTGTATGTCCCATAATAGGTCTCATTCTTCTACCCTTTCCCAGGAGTCGATGGCTATTCATAGCTATTACCTTGACACCAAAGAAGAGCTTGACCCAATGCTTTATTTCTGTCCTAGTTGATCCCAAATTGCAAATACTAATTTATTAAGAATTAATTGGATTGAAGCTATAGCATCATCATTCACTGGAATTGAAATATCTGTGAGATCCAGAAAAAGAAATAAAAAAAAAGAGAGGGAAAAAGAAATAAAAAAAAGAAATAAAAATGAAGTAAAAGAGCCCATATTCCAAATGAACAACTTCAAACTTGAAAAAATCTTTCTGATTCTCGTGTGAGGAAGTCTTCCCGGAATCTCCCGCTTTAGCTATTGATTGAGGATATAGTAAGTCTCGCTTGGGCTGCTTTAATGGTAGTCTTTACATTTTCCCTTTCACTCGTAGTATGGGGAAGAAGTGGACTCTAGGAGTACTACTAATTGAGTTGAGAAATCAAACTGTATCGATTGTTTTATAGATCATTCTGCAAAGATTTTTAATTTAACTGTTTAAATTGAATTAAATTCAATTATTTAATTATTTAATTCAATTTCTAAATTCTTACAAATACAAATTTAGAAATTGAATTAAAAATATCTTCATTTCCAAATTCTATTGGATTTTAGTGAAGTAATGTATTCTATAAATAATTAATATAAATAATTAATATATGAATAATACCCTTTTAAGAAGTAAAAAGGAATACAAATGCTAGAAATTTTTTCCCAATCTTTTTTCTTTGTTTTTTGTTTACCTCTTTCCTGTTCAAAAGAAAGGAAAAGCCGTTCTTTTATTAAAGATATTTTAAAGGAAGTAGCTTCTTTTAAAAAGCAGCTCTTTATTAAAATGAAAAGTTGATTAAAATTAATGTGAAATTTTCTATGGGAAAATAAGTTACCATAGACACGTGAGTGTTCTCCAATGGGATAACTACGCTTGCTTACTAAGAGATTTTCTTGGCTTTAGTGCTCTTGGCATATAGTATTTGTTTTATATCTCATTAAATATACTATATAGTTGTTTTATAACCTTATTGACTTGACTTCATTTCATATCATGATTAAAAGTTAAAAAATCGGCAGGGTTTACTAATCCTTTTCGTTGAAATCTTAAAAAATTTATAGAACTCCCTTCCTTGGACAATCTGCCAACTATTCAATCAATTACTTTCTTCGAAATGCCTAAAAGATCTGATTTTCTTTTATTAATTTAAAATTTAATATATGTTCATATTTTTTTTCCTTTTCATTGATTTTATTCTTTCGGTAACGCCAGGATCATATTGAAAATAATCGGAAAATCTAGGAATTGGAATCGTAAAAGTAAGAGGGTTGCCTTTCGACTATTTCAGATTATTGGAATCAAACACAAATCAAATAGATTGAGAAATAGAATTGGACGTTCTGTACATTACATATAGATATATGATATTAGATATATGGAATATGAGAGATATTATAGATTAATCTATCTCTATTTATTAAAAGCCTATATCTTTATACAGTACAACTTTATACACTAGAAAACAAAAATAGATAGTATGAAAAGAAAGAAAATATATTTCTATTTTCTTTCTCTATCATACTATCAGATCTCATAGAATACTGCTTAATTCTAGTCCCTCATTTCATCTAAGACGCAAAAATAGGAATCCTTTTGATTTTTATTTTTTTCAATCATTAATTATTGATAATGAAGTTCAAGTTTCATTCAAATTAATCGCCTTGACTAACTGTTTTTACGTATATTATAAGTAAAAAAGCGGTAGGAACTAAGAATGAACAGTGCAGTAGCAAAAATGCCAAGACATATTTACTTCCATAATCTCATCGTTTTCTTTTTTTTTTTTCTTTGCAATAACTCGGGATTTAATTCCCATAGGGATAATAAGTCTTTCGCAACTCTAATTCAATGCGATGAAGTTCCATTCTCGATGATATCGAGTCTGATCATATTATGAATAAACAATTCTGAGCTATCAAAATTTTCCCGGGGGGAAAATTCAATCGTCGAGAATTGAATAGTATAACATAGAAAGATTGTTTATTCCATTTACCGAATTCATTTTTGAATTCTTGATTCAATTGATTAATTCTTTACTTTATTTTTATTATCATTATTCTTCTTTTTCTATAAAATTCTCCGCCTTCTTTGTACAAATTATCTGAAACGAAGTATCATATAACCACCTTTACACTTACATTGGTTACAACCAAAATTCCCAAACAAACATAGAAAACGAAAACAGAGAAAGGGGAGTTAAGTTTTCTAAACTTCCTTTTTTAATGATCTAACTTATTGGAAAACACAAAAAAATGTTGATAAGACCAAGTCCCAATATTAGTAAATTATTGTATTTAAAAAAAATCGAATAATTCTATTCCATTTTTTTTTGTTTAGGTTTTGTTTTTTTTTCTTTCAGCAAAAATCCTAAAAAAAAAAAAAATTATCCAGTCCTTCTATAATGGGGGTCCTTATTTTTATTGATCTTTATTTATTTAATATAAAAATAATTTTATAAAATTATTTCTTTCATTAATATAATATTTCTTTATTTCATAATATTTCTTTATTTTTCTATTTTATTAATAAAAATATTTCTTTTTATAATTATTATGATATAATTTATTAATATTAATATAATATTTAATCTAAATATTTATTTATTCTATTTCTTTTTTTTTTTTAGTTTTGAGTTAATTTAATTTTATTTATTTATTATTTAATTTATTTTATTATTTATTAAAAATTAAAGGATTCTATCAAAAAATTCAATTTATTTTTGTATCGTCCAAATACAAATTCCATTTGTGTACTGGACTACCGGAAAAAGATATGGTTTACTAAGATTCGGTTTTATTATATATACGTCAGGAGAAAATCGAAAAAAATCCAAACTCAATAGAGTATCTTTTTGGGATCTTAAATATTGACATACCCATAATTGTACTAATCCACATATGGCTCCATCAATCAGTACTAGTGAAAAAATGAAAATTCCTATTATTTATATATTTCTATTTACTTTAATGAGAATGAGATTTAATGAAAAACGAAAATAAATAAAATAGAAATAAATAAGAATAAAATATTTAATTTAAGAATAAGAATTAAGATATAAATAATAAGAATCAAGAAATAAAAGATTCCCCTTTGAGAATGAAATTGTCCCCCTTTTGCATTTTTTGCAGAAAAGGGAGAGATGCATTTGATGTATTTTTTTTTTTTTATTAGATTATTTGGATTCTGATCCATCGGGACTGACGGGGCTCGAACCCGCAGCTTCCGCCTTGACAGGGCGGTTGCTCTGACAATTTGAACTTACATAATCCCGGGGAAATGGCAATAAAGTGTACAGCATTACATATTCTTATGATTTTATTCGAAACCTTTCTATTTTTCTATTTAGATTTTAGATTTGGAATCACCACATTGGAAACAGAAACGGGAGTGGTATTATTTGATATCACATGGATATCCCACTTTTTAGTTGATAAAAGGGACAGGAT